CTGCCAGCAACGGAGCTAGGTAAAAATCTAGTGTACGGGCGAAAATTTCGGCGCTGTACGCCGAGCCTTGTAAGACGCCTCTTTTGAGGCGCTGCCTCCAAGACACGTTCGCGAAACTAAGACTCACCTCCGACTTGACAATGAGCTCTAGAAGTTGTCGTGCCCCCAGGGATGACAAGCAGCGAGCGATCGAGTCGTGGCTTAGGGTGTCGAAGGCTGCTTGTATGTCGAGCTTACACGCAAGAAGCGGCAATCCCCACTGTCTAGATAGATAGACGATGTGCTTCAAAGCCACCGATCCATCCAAGGCGCCTGAGCCCCTACTTGGGAGGACAACTGCCCGCTCAACATGGGGGGAAAGACATCCCGGAGGCGCAGTAGCAGTGCCTTGGTAAAGATTTTGCTGAGGGTGGCTGACAGCACGATCGGCCTATAATCTTTGGGTTGCTGTGGCTCTTTGATTTTGGGGAGGAGCACAATTTGCGACAGTGTCCAGTTAGAGGGGAACTCAACATTCCCCAGCAGCACTTCATGAAGAAACTCTTGGAGATGCTCACAGGCTTCCGATTGTAGCACAGCTGACCAAAACTCATACGGAGCAGCATCATTGCCGTAACTCTTCCCGCTTTTGGTGAGCAGGAGTACCTGCTCGATCTTGTCACGAGTGATTAGGGCAGGCGCTGGCATCACTGCTCCTGTCGACGTGTGATAAATGTGAAGGGGCTCTGTGAGGCTGGTCACATCCATCGGCGCATACTTGCGTTTGTAAAAAGCCTGTAGGCCTCCTACAGCTGGTCCCACGCCTCCCACTCTTAGGCAGTACTCAAGCTGAGAGGCAGACAGGCTCTGCTTTCTTCTGAAGTAGCTGATGACTTGGCAGTACCGGAAGCGGCGGGGTCGGAAGCAGGAAGCGTCAGCCACTTGACGGGGAAATCTATGCTTTGGCAATGGTGACTGCCAACGGGATTCCCCACAATAAAAGCAAAAGATAGGTTTTGTAGCCAAACAACCCGGTTGATCCATTTCCCTGACTCAACTTCCCCGCAGCCACCAAGTTCCTGCAACCCAATTAAGTCAAACCCGCCCACATTGAGTAGGTCGGCCGAATTACCAAAACTGTCGAGGTTCTTCCCTCTGATGTTCCACGTCGCGACATGGAAGGGCGTCCGCAGGTCCTGCGGCGCTAGTCAACGGTTGCCTCTAATGTTGAGGTGCGGACCGCTTTCCCATAGCTTCGCAAGCTCAGCCTTAGGCAGCCCAGTGATTTCCTGAAAGCGATTGGCCAGGGGCACCCAGCCCGTGTGGTCACCTCTACTGTCGCACAGGTGCACGTCTTCAGGATCAGCATCGGGGGTAGGTTCGAGGCCTCAGCTAGGGCTTGCACTCTGCCTACATAGACGCGTCCTGTCCAATCGATCTCAGGAGTCTCTCTCTTGCGAGCATCCCCATACTTCACACTCCTTGGTCGGAACAAGGCTGCGGATTTTGTTGCGGTCCTCCGGTGTTCTGTTCTTCGTCATCCACAGCTGTTTGTTTTTGCTCCCGGCGATCCCCGATAGGAACTTCGTGCCTTTCAGCTAATCCAAGGTGTGTGTTTGGAAGGCTCTTTGGGCACGGATGTTTTGGGCTTGTGGGGGAACTTGACGGAGACTCTGCACACATTGACTCGCACGTAGGGTACGATTATCTCTTGGAGTCTGTCTTCTATCTGCAGGCGCTGGAAAATTTGCCTGACCTCATGCTCTACGTCCGGTCGTCTGGCCTCATTCCAGCCTCCGATGACAATCTCGAGGTCTTCAGCGGGATCTCCGTCATCTCTTGGGCTTCTGCCCCCCACGGAGGGGGACCGACCTCCTCGCTCTCTGGAGAGGCCACGCCCATCGGGCGTTGGGGGGCGACTACGTTCTCGCTCCTGCTGTTGTATGTCCTGCACCTGACGCTCAAGGGCAGCGACTCTGAGTGGGGTACCTTCGCGCAGCGATGTATGCTCTTGTGCCGTCGACTCTAATGCTGCAGTTCTCACCTCCTGCTGTTGCAACTCGGCGTGCATCCCCAACAGCTCTGCGTGGGTGCGGTCCTGCGAATCTCGGTTTGAGTCCGCCTTGGTGTGGAGGATCTGCTGTAGCGCCTCGATCCACCCCGCTCCCTGAGGAGCAGGGCGAGGTCCACGCCCTTGCCGAACTGGTGTGTAGGGGTGGGAAGCGTTAGGTGCTGAGGGCACATGAGGTTCTTCCATGCTAGCATCGGTGAGTTCGGCTCCCAAACCAACTTCAGGGCCCGCGACTCGTAGCTTCTTGGGGTCCGGCTTTTCACCTTAGAGGACGAAAGGTTCCCTTTTCTGGTGCCCCGCACTCCAGCCACTTGCCCGTCCTTGGGCACAAAGTTGCTCGCTCGGCGGCTTTGCCTTGGTTTTCCAGGGCCTGTGTATGGCGGGCAATCATCAGGGGCTTAGGGGGGGCGGAACAAGGTAGCCTAAAGGGCTCGGTCCAAGTTGTTAGGGGAGAAGTCACGCTTCCCACGGGCTCTGCAGCAGATTGGCTCACCTGGGTGGGCGGCGGGCCCCAAACTCCGAAACCTAAAGCAATATTCCTTCCCAAGTCTCTCTCTCGCTCAAGGCCCAGTCCTCCAACACCAGCCCCGGGAGGAGTCCCGGGCGTGGCTGAGTTGACGAAACATCGTCGTCCTGTCCTAATTCTTCTCCGTCCTCCAGGTCCATGAGGGTTCGTGCCTCGTCTGGTCGGGGGCGGGGATTCAGAGCACTGGGATGGGACTCGGCAACTTCTCCTACGGGACTGGGCGCTCGATATCCTATAGCCCCTGGCAGCAACTGCGTCTCAGCGTCAGCGGACATCTCTTATTCTTTTCTCAAACTGTCTCTCGGTCTGTCAAGAATGTCGCAGTCCAGCACAGCAAGCAAATTCAAAAAGGAAGGGCAATATCAGCGCAGGCAAGGCAAAAAAGGCAGTGCAGCAGTGCGTGTCGGGTAAGGTAGGTAGGGCAAGGTGAAGGCAAGGAAAGGAAAGGAGCTCAGGATCAGTGTAGCAAAAGCCAAGGGCAATAGAACATGGAAAGTAGAGAGGGTTTCGACCGGTCGACAGACAGGTCGAGGACTGTTCCTTCTCCAGAGTTACCCGCAAGATGCGCTGGCCACCTGTTACGCTCCGGGGGGAGGGGTGAGTTACAACCGTCCAGGTTCCGAGAGAGATAAATACTACAAACGCCAAAGTTTCCCGAGGAGCTGTGAGCCGATACTTGAGCCAAAATGGCTTGAGCCGTAGCCATTTGTAGTAGCAGTAGTAGTAGTAGTAGTAGTAGTAGTAGTAGCAGTAGTAGTAGTAGTAGTAGTAGTAGTAGTACAGTGCAATCACTGTACAAGAAATGGTTGGATAAGAAACGTAGGGGCTACGTCAACCGGATAGCACCAAAAAGCCCAAAATTCAAAACGCCTTCTAACTAAGAAATGAAGGGTACCCAACGTTTTAGGGTAATTTCTTATCTGGCTGGGCGGTTAATTTCTTGATTCGGGTGTTCTCAAGCCTCGAAAACCCGTTGGGGGGTTTTCCAAGAGCCAACAAGAAACTTAGGGGGCTACATTTCTTATTTTGGGTGGTTTCCAAGGCTTACGCTTTGGGCACACGACAGGAGCCAAAATAAGAAACGTAGGGGGCTACATTTCTTATTTTGGGTGGTTTCCAAGGCTTAAGCTTAGGGCACACGACAGGAGCCAAAATAAGAAACGTAGGGGGCTACATTTCTTGTTTTGGGTGGTTTCCAAGGCTTAAGCTTAGGGCACACGACAGGAGCCAAAATAAGGAACGTAGGGGGCTACATTTCTTATTTTGGGTGGTTTCCAAGGCTTAAGCTTAGGGCACACGACAGGAGCCAAAATAAGAAACGTAGGGGGCTACGTTTGTTATTTTGGGTGGTTTCCAAGGCTTAAGCTTAGGGCACACGACAGGAGCCAAAATAAGAAACGTAGGGGGCTACATTTCTTATTTTGGGTGGTTTCCAAGGCTTAAGCTTAGGGCACACGACAGGAGCCAAAATAAGAAACGTAGGGGGCTACATGTCTTATTTTGGGTGGTTTCCAAGGCTTAAGTTTAGGGCACAGCGCAGGAGCCAAAATACGAAACGTAGGGGGCTACATGCCTTTTTTTGGGTAATGCTGCCTTAGTGGTGTCTGTCTAGGCTAATGGCAAAGGCATTGGCTTAGTAGAGTGCAGCTGCACTACCATGGGCTCGAGCCCCGACTAAGAAATGAACAAGAAACGAAGGGTACCCAACGATGCAGAAGTTGGGAAATGTGGAAATATGAATGTAACAGGAAGCTAAGAAATGAAGGGTACGCAAGGCTGGAAGCTGGCATTTCTTATCCAGTAGATGCACTGTAGTAGTAGTAGTAGTAGTAGTAGTAGTAGTAGTAGTAGTAGTAGTAGTAGTAGTAGTAGTAGTAGTAGTAGTAGTGGTAGTAGTAGTAGTAGTAGTAGTGTTAGTAGTGTTAGTAATAGTCGTCGTAGTAGTAGTAGTGATAGTGGTGGTGGTAGTAGTAGCAGTAGTAGTACACCCAACGCCCCAGTACTACAACTCCTATACGGTGAGCGTCGTCGCTGTCCTCACACTCACGGTTTCAAGACCAAGAAAACAAATAACATCATAGAAATGCGAAATTGGGTCGGCAACAATATTGCGTTGTGATGATACCCTGCTCCCGGACAAAGCTTCTCAGCTGCCATTCCGGGCCATGACCGTATCGAAGTACTGTTGAATTCTTGCTTCAGTTTAGTTTCGGGTCAGCAAGCCCCGAGCGTGACAACATATTCACGAAACTCACGATGCGACAGACCCAACAGATGGCAGCCACAAGATTCGTGCTGCAAGCTCTTGAAACTTGGGTAACTGAATTACCAACTGAACCACAAAGTACTTCCGCCCATGCTTTCCAAACGTTGTAAGTTTCCAAAAATCCGATCTAGATGCTCGCGGCTTTCTGAGACACCGGCCGTGCAGGAATAGTAGGCCACCAATGCCTGAAGGTTCATCAGAAAGATAGAGAGAGAGAGAGAGAGAGAGAGAGAGAGAGAGAGAGAGAGAGAGACACACACACGTGCAAACGCAGGTGCGCAGCCTCACAAACTAGCCGACATGCACGCGGAAATTTCGATTGTCGGCATCGTCGATGCAACTACCCAGCGTTGCGGAGAGGCGCGGGCCAGCACGGCGGGGCGGCCGGCAGCCAACGAAGAACACCGAAGCAGCATGCATGCCACGGCTTGCGTTCGGACGGAGCGGGGAAGGCATGGGGGCGGCCGAGTATCGGCTCAGTCGATGTGTTAAAACAGACCTGTAGCGCTAGAATTTGCTAAGCTGCTATAGCTTCCGCTGGGTCTTGACTTCCGCCTGCAGCGCTCCGGTGCTGGGGCCCAGGCCCAAAGCGGGAAGTGGAGGCAGTATCTGCTGTAGCATTTTAGTGTCACGACCTGGAAAGAAAGCGGACAGGAGTGCAGAGCGCAGTCCGCAGCAGATCGGTGATCGCTGGGTCTCCGGCGTGCAGGGTCGCCAAACCCAACACTGTCAAAGTATACCGCACCAGGCTCCTGGCATCTCCAAAAACGCGAAGCTTGCCTTCTTGGGATAGCTAAGGAATCGGCCAAATAAAGAAGTGCACTTCGGGGGAAGTGTACTGCTGCTTTCCAGATACCTCAGGTTATCAAGTCGAAGTAAGGGCCAACCTGCACAACTCTCAGTGTCCTGGAGTAAGTATCCTAATTGGGGTGCGCGCGAGGTTCGTGGTGTGTTCACAGTTGGCCCACAAAATGTTGTAACTGATCTGGTTGTCCTTAAGAGACAGCAAAGACAAGCAGCAGAACTTGGGACGAGCACGAGTGCCAAGCGATCAAGTTCACAGCATCACGGACGATCCGTTCGCGATCCCTGGCTTTGCGGAAGGTGCCGTTGCAACAGGACAGGGGAGTTTGCTGGGCTGCGAGCTCTTCACTGAGCTTCTCCTGAAGCGTGCTGAGGCGTCCGGTCCGGGGGCAGCCCGAGACTTGAAGTGAGCGTCCTCCATCCGAAAGATGTGCGGCATGTCGCCATAATCCGCCAATGGCACCTTGTGACAGTGGGCCTCCGGAGATCGTGCAGACTTGTGAAGGCCAAAGCTTGCTTTCGGCTTTCGGTTCCTTGTGGAGCAGCGTTTGAAGGAGGACGCGGGGCAGCGAGCACCAGGCTCCGAAGGCTTTGACACCTCGCGTACGCGATGTGACGACGCGGCCCGGCGGCGGCCCGGCGCCCGCCCGCTCAGGCTTTGGCGGACTTCCTCGATGAAGCCTCCGACTCCAAGCCGCGAACAGGTTTGACCAGGTCCCGCCGAGGTCCAACGGTGCCTTCGACGGTGTTCGAGTACTCCATGATGCTCACGATCTCATCCTCGAGCAGAGCCGTGGAGCCGTGGCGGCCGTGGCGGCGGGTGGGGGGGCCGGGAAGGTTGTTGCGTAAAACGCCCGAGCGGTCGCCCAGCCTGCTCAGTTCTTGGAACCCCGAAGTCGTCCACGAAAGCCACCTGACCGGGGCCGAAACCGCCGCCAACTCTGGGAACAAACTATTAGCCGGGTCGCATCATCGAGGATAACCTCACAGGTCAAGCAGGCTCGAGTCTGCTGCGGGTACTGCTCCGTTTCCGCATGAAACGCACTTCTCTCACTTTTCTCCCATCTTCCTCCTCGCGACTTGCAAGTCACATCCCCACATCCGCCGGCAGGATTTATGTTCCGACGACCGTGGCGAAACCGCACACCGGGAGCCACCGAGCAGCAAAGTGGTGGTAGAGGTGGAAGAGCTCCAGCGAACCCATCAAACTCACCTCGGCAGCGGCGGACACGGTTCGGCACGGTTCGGCTCGTGAGTGCGAGTGCGGCTTGGGCACCAGGTAGTCCACCCAGGGGCTCAGGCACCGCAGCACGTTCAAGGTGATCATGCAGTGGTCCCCACCTGAGCGCCGAACTTTTTGGGAGAGAAGGAAGGACCGGAGACCGGAGACCGGAGGGCGCAGGCGGCGCAGGAGGAGGACCCGCTGGGCGCCCCTGCGTCGGAGCTGAGTCACGGCGGCGACCTCGCGGAAGACCGACTTCCTGCGAACATTGCGGGGGCGCAGGGAGACAGAGCTTGGTCTGAGTCTGAGGATTCTGAGGGCTGAGCTGATCCACATAAATCCGCGGCCTTCTTTCCAAACATTCTCGACTCAGATTTCATGTCTCTGCACCCCGGGCGGCAAGCGGTCGAGTGACAGGGTGCTCTGCACCTCACTTCCCATCTTTTCCCGAAGCTCTTTCAATCCCGGCGCTGAGCTGCGCACACCAAAATGGCTTTCGTGATCGGGACAAGTAGTGGTGGATAGGCCTCGGCGAGAGCGGGGCTCTTGCAAGAAGGCAGCGAATGCGGATTCTCACCGCAGACGCGGGTTCCTGTCCCAGAATGGCCTGGTCATGGTCTTGGGCGAGGACGACAAAATCTTCTTCGGCTTCACCTTGGAACCTGGCCTCGCAAAGAAGGAGAAAACTAAGCGCAGCTGAACTTGAAAGAACTGCTACTTCCATGCCGAGCATCGGAGGTTCGAAGCTGCGGGGCGGTGGCACACCCGTCATGTCGCTTCTTGAAGTCCTCAAGTCGCCTTAGCGAGGAATTTCGAAGCATGCCGTCCTACGCTTGCAGTCCAGCTTCACTTCTCCGCCCACTCAGAAGACAAGCGGCGTCCGGACACGTAGCACAAGAACTAGCGATGGGCCGAAGACATGAGCAACTGCGCCCTCGGCAACGGTGCTGTGCACGACAGGCTGCTGGCCGAGACGAGGTAAAGCCGGCACTCTAGCACGGCTGCTAGCTTGCTTGGTCGTGCTGGACATAAGGCTTCCCGTTTCTTGTCGCTAAGCGGGAGCGGTGCGATTCGAAGGCAAAACGGCTGCTGTAGGTGCTCAGGCTACAAGGTTTGCGATTGCAGGATTTGTCTTCGCGTCGCTTTTCCACCTGAGCGCTTTTCTCGAGGTCCTTGGAAATACGTCATGAATCTTCCACGGCCCAAAGTTTTCAATGTGCTTGATCGGCGGACTTCTGTTGAAATGCACCTGTCATCTAATCAATCCGTGTTCAGCCATGTAATATCCACTATGGAGCACCGAAACCGAGCATCAAGCAGCACGTAGCAGCACCCTATCTCGCCTTGGGGAGCGGAGGTCTGCGGAACGCCGTGTTCAAACCACATCCAAAGGCGGCCAAGAAACTCGTCTGGCCAAGATGTCGTCGCTCCAGGCGTCGCCTTGACCCTTTTTCAATTGCGAAACGAGCACCTCCGGCTGCAAGTGGGGTTTCCCTTCCTGGAAACATTTTCGGCATTTAGGGGCTACAGGCTGACCGTAAATTTATTTTGTTGTGATCCCTGAAGACTTCGGGCCAGCAGGTGGTCAGTGGGTCATCAAAAGACCACATCAGGGAAACTCAACAGAAGTGACAGTGGCAAGTACCAGGACAACCGATGCGGCGGCAGCGCCACGGCAAGTGTAACGATGCCCAACAGTGCGAACGGTACAAACAATTAAAGGATCGGACAACCCCACATGTGAAGATTATCTCTTCGAAAAATGCATGAGTGAAAGAGTAAGTGAGTGTGTGAGTGAACGAAGTGCAAGAGTGAGTGCGTACGAGCAAGTGACTGCGCGCGGCCTCTCTCAAAGCAGTCTTTTAGTAGCATTAATGTGTGTGGCGCGTGAGCGTGCCAGACTGTGTGAGGTGCGTGAATGACCATGAAGATGAGTGCATGATGTTTGCATATGCGCTGTGTGAGTGTAGCGTGCGTGGTGTGTGAGCGACCATGAGGACCAGTCCATGGCTTCCACTGCAGCCTGCGGTAAAACAACATTCAGAACAAAATTCACAAGACAGGACCTCGCATTCGATGGCGGCTTTTGCAAAGCCACGTGCGCCACTCACCATAGTGCTGCTCAATTGGCATCTTTGAACAAACAGCAGCAACACGTGCAAACAGACAGCTGACACCTAACCGAAGCAAGACTTTGTCAGATGTGCTGGCTCCCAATTCCAGGTCGCACCAGCTCTGAAGTGCTGTTATGGACAGCCATTGCAGCGCTTCTCAGTACGAGTTGCACGCAGTTGCCCATCGTCTGAATCACTGCTACTCCATGTTTGCTTCGCGCAGCGGTTGCCGAGCCCACGTTGTCCTGCTAAAGACTCTAAGGTACACGGAAACTGTGTAACGGCATTCCTGGCGCAAAATCCGGGTCCACAATTTCTTGGATTCTGCGCAACAGCTGGGCGATCCGTTCATGCTCCTCGCTCCAAGCTTGCATGGTACGCATCAACTCAACGATTTGAGATCGCATTCGAGCTTGATCCATGAGCATGTTGTTGAGCTGACCTTGAAATGTATGGACAGGGACCTCATAATTCACAGGAGTAGGGGTGCGCATTTCCATCCGTGCCGATGTTGTCCTCGCCCACATCTTCGCCAGCACGCTGTCGCGGTGGGTCGACCATGACATCTGGAGCTTCCACTGTGGACATAAGTGCATCTTCAGGATGAGGCTCCATGGTGTCGGGCTGACACAACGTACGGAATCTAACTTTTCAGTTGCTTCCACTGCAGCCTGCGGTAGAACAGCATTCACAACAAAGCTCCCAAGACATGCCATCGCGATCGCACAAGCAACCTCAGCTCACTCCTACGTTACAAGACTGCATGGGAGAGACGGTGAGTTTGCGGCGACCATAGAAGCAGTGGGTGCCGTGACCAGCACATCGACAGAGAGAGTTTCATCTGCGGCACTTCTCAATACAAGTTGTGCGCAGTTGCTCATCCTCTGAACTGCTGCTATGGACAGTCACTGCAGCGCTTCTCAGTACGAGTTGCGCGCAGTTGCCCATCCTCTGAAATACTGTTGTTTACGGCCAGGAGTCGAATCGTCGAAGGATACAACCTTCCGCTTGGCCTTCGTCTGGCCTACTGATCTTGCATCCTAGCACTGCATGCTGCCTGAGCTCAAGGACTCAAGGACTTCTGATTAATCATTGAAGTGTGCATTGTGAAGAGGCAGCATGCTCCGAGGGATACGGTTCTGCCAGTCTTGAATACAGCGTTGACGATCGAGCAGTTCTTGCTGGTAGCTTGCTTCTGAATGCGCCCTTTGCTGCGAAGCAGAAGCCGAAGTTGTGCTCGAGCCAATCCCGGGCTCACGGGAGCCGGAACTTGCAGCAGCCGCACGGGAGCCGGAACTGGCAGCAGCAGCTGCACTAGAGCTGGAGCTGGCCGCTGCGAGGATGGAGCCGCTGAACATGGCTTGAGCACAGACAGCAATATCGTTTCATGAGCCCCGAAAAGGCTCTGCGTTGCATCGAAGCGGCATTCTGATATGCATGGTGAGGCAAGGACATCGCAAAGGAATCATACTCGTGACAGGCACGAAGTATGCAATCTAACTCTTCAGTTGCTTGCGGTAGAACAACATTCACAACAAAGCTCAAGACACACCCTCTCCATGGCAGAATCAACCGCAGCTTATCCGACGCGACATGACGGCATGGGAGAGACGGTGAGTTTGCTTGGGATCCCATTTATTTCGGCAAACCTCAAGTTGCGGGAGTCCGAGGCTTGACTTAGTGGATCGACACTCTCACCCCTGGTGGAAAACGGATCAGGTCCGCTGCCTTGTAGCTGCCGTGTGTGACCCTTTCTCCTTCAAATACTTGGATCGGTCGGAGTTCCAGGTTCTGGAATCTCAGTCTGTTTTTATCTGACATGACAAAGACCGGCTCCTCATTCTCGAATTCTGCAGTCGTCCACTTGACCTTGTTGTGGTAGCCCTGATGCTGTTCCGCATGAAACTCAATTATGGGATCATCCCACGACCATTTTTTCTGTGACTCTTCCGTTTCCTTGCTCGGGTCCCCGGCAGACGACGCCGCCCGGCTGCTCGGAAGACGATGCCTTGCCCGGCTGCTCGGAAGACAATTCCTCGCTCGGCTTCTGAACTGCAGTTCAGTAGGCCACCGAGAAGCTCGACGAGTGCCCGACTCAGACCGGTTTCAGGGAATGGCTAGTTTTTCTCCGCCTTTGCCGTCTTGGACAGCAGCTCCACCAGTGCAGGAATCCCCATTTTCAAACCAGGCCAAAGCGTGCGAAGAGGGTTGGCTGCCCCGTGCAGGAATCCGATGCCTGATGCCGCCGTGCACGAGGTGGCAGAGTCATCAAAAACAAGACTGAACGGAAGGAAGCGACATGGTCCGGCCCGGCTGGCTCTGCGCAGAGCAGTCTTAGACTAGCATGCGCAGCGAAGGCGAGTCAATCCAAATGGAAAGCTGCATAACTAACCTAGGTTGCACAAGATCGATGCTTGAGCATGACCAACCAGTCCCTGCAATTCCGAAACTGTGTATTGTCACATGTCATGAGCTGTGCCTAAACTGAGAATCGGATAGGGTACAGGGTGGGGCAGACTAGGCTTTGGTAGGGCAGCAGCACTGGCACGTCATGACGTCACATTTTAGAGTCTCTGTCGGTGGGCTGATTTATCGAGCAACATATCGGCTAGCTCCCCATTCCGGGTCGCAGGGAACAGGACCGACCGTGCAGCGGAGGTGCTTGCAGCAGGGCTCGCTGGAGAGGGCCGAAAAGGATTTGCTGTTTGTGGAGGGCCTTCCGCAGTCATCTCTACTCAAAGTCTATGATACCAGGCGAAGAGTCCTCAAAGGTCCGCTTGCTGGATGCGCTGGTAGGCTTGCCTGGAAAAAGAAGTTCAATCCCAAACTCGTCACGAAACAAATATTCAAGATGATGGTTGTGGTGTTCTGTTTCTAAAACCAAAAGTTCTTCTTCCGTCCGTTGAGGAAGCGGCTCGTGATCCGTCTCGGGACAAACCGTAGTCTCTACCCGCGCAAAAGGAACGCACAGTGGTTCCTGGTCGTCACGATTGGAGACGTGCAAGTACAGAAACGCCTCAAGGTTCGCAGGCTTCAGAATCGTGGCTGCGCAAGCAACAAATTGATCCGGCGATTCGCAAAGTTCACCGAGCTAGCCTGTTCAGGTCCGCGAAGTCAGCCTCGGTAGGTCCTTGCATCTTCCGTGCAAGGCACTTCACGGCTTCTGACAGGTTTGGTCTGCCGTGCTCCAGGAACGCAGCACGCATGACCAAAGAGCGGTGCTTGCTGATGCACTCCGGCTGCACCGTCGGCATCTCCAAAAGCTTTGAAACGTCCTTCGCCGAAAGCTTTTCGTTTGGGCTTCACTGGCTTGCAGTTCTCCATCTCCAAGTCCTTAGGATGATCTCGGCATGCCCGGGATCCGGCTCGTACGTGCTCGTGTTGGACCGCTCGTCGAAGCGAACGAGACGGTTCAGAACACAAAACTCTTGTTTCTTCTCCCCAGGTCCAGTGCTTCCATCAACTCTGAGATCGCACCTGGAATTTAGGACCTGCTCCGCGTAGGCTTGGCCTTGGTCGTCCGCTAGGATGGATCCTCCGGTAAGGCTTCGCGGTGGATGGCGGCGAGGTAGTGAGCGGAGTGGACCCTCTCCAGACAGGTCCGGACGCATCGTCAAAAGGAGTGAAAGGTTGGCGGTATTAAGTTCGCAGGCGTTGCCCGCACAGCACAGACCATCTTCCAGTAGGCAGGCCCGAGACCATAGCAGGAACCAGTCTGCGTATCGAAGGCGTTTAGCCAGCTCTCGACGTGCCTCGCAGAAAGGGATTGGATCTCGGCACGTGGATCCAGAGGCAGACCGTAAAACAAAGCCCTGCGGCCCTGCAGGCGGTGACTTCGTCTGGAAGCAGCTTGCAGAGTGCGAGCTGAGGCGGCAGACCGAGCTGTGGCATCGGGAGTCGCGTGACAAAAACACATGTCGTCTAGGAAGGCGAAGAACTGTTCCGGGCTGCTGTCCTGCTTTCCAGCTGCATGGCGCGCGAGATGGGTTAACATGGCGTCGTCGCAGGCTCACCTCCTTGTTTGGTTGGATGTATCAGAGGTTGTGCTCCTGCAGTGCGGCGGGTCTCGAAAGGCTTGGCTGTCGTTTCCCTTTCCAGTCCCGCAGAAGCACTTCTGCGAGTTTCCTTCTGCGAGCTCCTCGTCTTCCCGTCACGGCTCGGCGCCTTGTCCTTTCCCATGGCGCTGTTGGGGTAGCACAGGGAGGTTGTAGAAGGACAGGATTACCGGGAGATCCGCGAGGTCAAAAGCATAAGCCCCACTGTGAATGGAGGGCCACCGGGTCGGCAAAGCAGGAAGGCTTGCCCCCTGACCATCCCAACGAGGAAGGGTGCGACAACTTCCCCCAAAAAAGACATCGGTGTGTCGGGTGCTCGTAAATGATTTGCTGCGACCGTTGATTTTGACATCCTCCAGGTCGGGAATATGTGTAGCCGGCAATTGGCTTGGGCTTCGCCTTCCCGTTGAGTGGAGCTGCTGGCCCGAGCCCCACGGGACTTGTTCTCAGTCAGCTTTAAACTACCCAACTCATTAGGAATCACATGCTTCATAGAAGGCAAAATTATCAGTGCAAACCTTACATAGGTCTAGATCTGGCCCTACTGAGCACAGGCCCAAAAATCTGACGAAGCCCAACAAATCAGACAAAAATTAAGCCGTTGTCACGATAACGTAATATTGTTTAAGTCCAAGTCTACGCTCATTGAAGCAAGGAAAAACCTGTACATGCATACCGAAACATATGCCCCAATCACAATGCTATGCTCACCGTCCCAAGCGACCATGAAACATGCAGAAAACACGCTGCTTTCCGTGCAGCCTGCTCTTCCGGATCGTATTGCAGACGAATCTCGCCATAGTATCCGTCCTTGCTCTGCAAATCGCTCCTCGACAAGAGCATGTTGACACTTTGACACAGGCACACAAGATGTTGTAGAGGTGTCCTCAGCCAAAGCCCGTCAGGAATCAGAAGACCGGTGATCTGACACGAAATGATGTGAAACTCCCTGATCTGCTCTGTCCGAGGCCTTCTCCCCGTTTGGCAATGCTTGTTCAAAGCCTGGCGGCGATTCGGCGCGGTGACGCCTTCAATGGTCTATGGCCTATGGTCTGGTAAGTGTCTCACCCAGGTCTTTCCCGACCTCGGAGACTTCTGATGTCACAGGTTTGTCGGCTGGGATCAAGCTTTACTCTTTCGCCCTTGCATCAAGTTTCACAAGGCCCGGGCTTGTCGAATCTCATATGTGTAAAGATCATCCTGAGCCATGTTGCCATGGTAGCTGAGGCTCTCTTCAGGCCTGAGGCTCATGCCGTGCGAGTGTCCCCGTAGCACCAGGATCCTCGCAGGTCCTGCATGAGCTAGCAGATCTAGCAGTTAGATGCAGCGGTTTTCCGGTGCGACACGGAGGGTCCCCGTTCATTTCCGGAGCCGGCGCTGGCATCTGTGCTCGCCTCTGGGCCCAGGCTGGCGGCAAGAGACGAGTGAAAGTCTCTGAGGCTCAGACGCCGATCCACCGATGGGCGGATCGGAGCCCAAGAAGGGGGATCGGGATCGGGCCCCCGCCGGGCCACCCGGTGGGCCACCTGGCCCGGCTGGCCCTTCCCCCACTCCGGCTCCGCCTCCGCGCCCTTACCAGCGCAGCGTGACGCAAAGCCGCGACGGAAGCACTTCACAAATTTCCAGGGGCGGGCTCAGGACGTGGAAGACCAAGGGCCTGTGCGGCCGAGTCGTATGTCGAGCGTGGCTCTTTTTTGGGGGCCATGCTGGGCGGCTGGGCCCCCCACTCTCCGCGCTCCGAGTTTCTGCGCAAGGCGTCCTGCCAACAAGGGCGTGATGGCGGAGAGTCTCAAAGGCAGGCATGCTCAAAAGGCCCCTTCGGCCTGCATCACGAACTTGAAGTCTGATTCTCGGAAGACTGGAACCTGGTTCACCTGAACCACGGCGGGCAAGGGGGCAAGGGCAGCACGCGCACACACACACACACACACACACACACACACACACACACACACACACACACACACACACACACACACACACACACACACACACACACACACACACACACACACACACACACACACACACACACACACACACACACACACACACACACACACACACACACACACACACACACACACACACACACACACACACACACACACACACACACACACACACACACACACACACACACACACACACACACACACACACACACACACACACACACACACACACACACACACACACACACACACACACACACACACACACACACACCACACACACACACACACACACACACCACACACACCACACACACACACACACACACAACACACACACACACACACACACACACACACACACACACACACACACACACACACACACACACACACACACACACACACACACACACACACACACACACACACACACACACACACACACACACACACACACACACACACACACACACACACACACACACACACACACACACACACACACACACACACAGCGGCGCCTGCAACAGACGGTCGCCGACCCGGAAGCCAAGGTCGTAGGCCTCGAGTTTTAAGTGCAGACTAAAGATCTAAAGATTCAACCTCTCTGAACTGCCCACCCGCAAGTCACCGAAGTTGTTGACCACCAGATCGTCCTCTGCCAAGTTCAAGCCTTGGGCCAATGCGGCACCCCTGTGAGAGCGTAGAGATGGGACTCCTCCGGGAAACCCGACCGACTCTGCCTCCTCAGGGACATGCCGCGTTTACACAGCGATGCTTTAAAGCTCGCTGACAAGTTCTGCTTGCAATCACCAACGATACGTCACTGCGTCTATCTATCCGCGCTCTCAAGGCTTTCAGTGACTTTGTTGTCTTCGACCAACAGGTTGCAAGCACAGGTGGGCACAGGTGTCTGAGAGCTCGCGCCCTCAAGAGGCTGCTGAACGACGATCTGTAGGCGACGCTGCCTCAGCGAGGCCGTGTGGGGACAATGAAAAGGTGGCGACGAAAGTGCTCGACCCATCTGCCATGACCATAGGCTTCTTCGAGCCTGGAGCGATCGCGACTGCCGCAGCCCCTCCTCAGGCCCTCTGTTGGGCCTTGATGGTTTCCGTGCTCCCAGGTACGTGCCTCAGCAAGGAGACGCGGAAACGAGGTTTTTGGGTCCCGGCCCCGGCGGTTGCAGGCTCCCCGCAGGATTCATCTCGGACCTGAGCGGCGCGCAAAGCGGCGACTTTTTACCGCCCCGTCAAAAGACCGCTCCCCCCTTTCTTCCCTTTTGGGCGCGCGCCTCTCAGCCCGGGTGCTTGCACGGTAGCTGCGGGCGTCTCCCAAGCCCAAAGCCTTATAACAAGGGAAGAGGGAAGGCAGGGAGGAGAAAAGAGGCGAGAAGAGCACGCGGGAGAAGCTTCTCCCCGCGACTTGGCTCCAAACGCGCAGGCGCTGCGAGAGGAGGGCCTTTGTCTTGTTGCTTCGTGGGTTTTTCGAGGCTTTTTTGTCTCCTTTTCTTGAGGCTCCGAGATCCGAGTGGCAGATGCAGAGGGCTCTGCGTAGACGTCTCCATCCTTGAGCATCACTGCATCGCCCATCTTTCTTACATGCATTGCTGAAAGCCAAGCTCGCCTTGGAAAGACCTCGCTCCACAAAGACTAAACCTGAGAGGAAGTGCACAAAGATCTGTCCGTCAGATTCGCCAGGAAGCAGGAACCAGTGAACCAGCTTGTGATAGGTGTGAGAGGTGCTCGGCGCCAGCCTGCCGCTGCCTCGGCTCTGAAGGCCCTCGGGCCCTTGGGCCCTCGCTCATGCAGATGGAGAGCAAGGAAAGGAGAAAGCCTCCGATCGCGACCGCCTCCCGGTCTCAAAGCCGTCCGTCGACTCTTGACTCGTGAACGAGGCTCGAGGCTCTGACGATGATGAAGTAAGGAGCCTCGCCCACCTGAAAGGGCTTAGGTCCCGGGGCGGGTCGGGCCAGAGGCCGGGGAGCCTTGGTCTGCACTCGAGTTTGGGCCAGCTCCACCACCTCACGGGCTTTGACAAGGCCGGCGCGCGTGCGCGCGGGGCCCTGCGCGGCCTGCTTGATTTGGTTCAGCATCACGGGATGTGACCTGACCAGGTCTCCAATCCCCCACTCCCGGCCCTCATGTCTGGAACCCTTTCAGCAGCGGAACGGTGCGGAGCTCTCGACCAAAGAAGCAAAAGGAATGGATTCCGGGATCTTGCCAATCTCCTGCACTGACTTTTCACGGCCTCGCTGTCCTGCCCCTCCCTGTGTCCGCAGAAGCCCACCTCTGCATGTTCTCGGCGATCAGCGTGACCCGGCCCCGGTCGCTTGGCAGAGGACTGCAGCAAGGAGACCCTTGGTCAGTGGCTTTTTCGCTGCCCTTCGCGGCTGGAAAATCTGGGGATGAATACGCAGCTACGCTTGCGTCAGCCGCGTGCACCGCTTCCAAAGGCCGCTGCCCAGGGGGGCAGCGTTCGGAAACGCCCTCCGCGTTCGCCACGTCCAGGTCCTGTCAGGGAAGCGGAGGCCGCCGCTTAAGGCCTGGAAGAGTCGGAGTTTCGTTCTCCTTCCAAACACTCCTTGCTTGAGGCCTTGGACAAGGCGACGCGTGGCGACGCGTCGGGGAGCGTGCCCAGGGCGCCTTTGTTATGAGGGCCCCGCCTCTCAGGGGCCCTTTCCCGCGCCCTCGCCGCCAGGACAAGGGAGAGTGCAAAGACCTGAAACACATCTCCCATAACTTCTGGGTCCAGTTCAAGTCGGGGGAGCGGGAGAGGAAATCCGGGAGGTGCAGTGTTTTTTCGGCGCCTTGGCTCAAGCTTTTGTCTCCCCTGCCTTGGGCTGTGGGCTCGCATCCCTATGGATCAAAAGCGGACTGGGTGTTCATGCTTTGGGTCACAAAAACAAACCGAGTTTACCACACAAGCGTGCAGTGCTTCTTTGCACTTGGCTGACGTAGCGGAGGCCTTTCGGCCCAGAATGCACCCCCAACGCAAACTCTACACTTTGCTTTCAACTGGACACGGATTGGGGCCGCCCAACCCTTGACTTGGGGGGGTCTCCAACTAGGCCGGGATTGGAGTTGATTGGAGCTTCCAAACCCTTCACGACTTCAGGCGACCTCGAACTGGACAAGGATTGGGGCCCCCCACCCGTAACTGGAACAAGGATGGATGCGATTCCGGGGAGCGGCTTCTACAGCAGCTTAACGATTCAGCAGAAGTTTCCAGGCCGACCAGGAGCCCCCCATAGGGCCTTTCGGTCCAGAAAGTACCGCAACGCAAACGTGAATCTTGATTGGACAAGGATTGGGGCCTCCAAGCCGTCCAACGCTTGAACATGCTTCCAAGTGGACCGGAAGCCTCTCCACAGATCGGAATATCAATGACAGGGCCCATCGCCCAGAACTATTCCAGCGCAAACCCTACATGTTGTGTGGACAGGGATTTGAAGCCAAAAACCGACAAATAATGACAAGGCCCTTCGGCCCAAAACGCAGGTGGAGGGGTTCATTTTTTTCTTCGGTGCGGCTCGGCTTCGGTTTGGCTTGGCTCGGTTCGGCAAGGTTTGGCGAGCCAAGCCGCACCGAAGAAAAAACAACTGCCGAGCCAACACGGACGTTTTTGCTATTCTCTTCGGTGCGGCTCGGCTTTGGTTTGGCTTGGCTCGGTTCCCTAAGCTTGGCTAGCTAAGCCGCACCGAAGAAAACACATCTGAGCCAGGGCGAAACGGCCCTTTGCTTTCTTCGGTGCGGCTTGGCTTGGGTTTGGTTTGGCTTGGTTCGACCGCCAAGCCACACCTAAGAAAAAAACCTCTCGAGCCAGGGCGGACGGGTTTTTCTTCTTCGGCGTGGCTCGGATTTGGTGCGGCTTGGCTTGTCTCGGTTTGGTTTTGCTTTGCTTTTGAGCCAAGCCAAACTGCACCAAAGAAAATAAACTCTCGAATCAATAGTGTACCATAAGGTGAACTTGGTCTGTTCCATCGCTCGTGCAGAACGCATAACACAAAAACATATATATATATATATATGTATATCGTACCGACACAATACAGGGTACGTAGTATGAAAACGGGATACAGTAAACATGTATGTTAGCACATGCAGTGGCAACACATGTATGTATGCATGTATGTATAACAATAAAACGAAAAACGCTAACACCAGAAACTGTCACAAAAGACGAGTAGAGTAGAATACAGTAAAGTGCGATTAACGGTAGCATACTGAAGGCTTTATAAAACGATGTTAGGAATATCATATAACATAATATCATATTGTAATATAACATGAATAATGCAACATAACATAGTACGTACAATGTAATGTGGTGGTGTTTGCGCTGTCATAGAACATACTATTCGGTCGGGAACACGTAACGTGATGGAATATGATCCACTGCATCAAGTGCCATTTCACATACCACAAAGTACTGTGGTTAATAAAATATGAAACGACAGTCAGTACAAATCAAAACTTCGAAATAAAACAATATTGCACAACACCAAAAAAGATACATATATACATATATCCAAATACCAATATACATATACATATATATATATCTCTCTCTCTCTCTCTCTCTCTCTCTCTCTCTCTTTCTCTCTATCTTGGCATATTCTAGAAATATCTATACTGTGGAGCAGCAATAATGCAGAGCGTTAAGGAGGGAGATGGTTCGGCTTGGCTTGGCTCGGCTTAAGCGGGGGGGGGGGTTTGGGGGGAGGGGGCAGCTTGTCCCCTCCTTCCCCATGCACACTTGCCGAGACAGGACCCTGCGCCAATCACGAAACAACAAATAATAGCCGCCTTGAGTGCATGTTACGCACCCTTCGTGCACTCAGGAAGGTCTTTGATTGCAATATGAGTGCTCTCATATGTTGTCATCACGCCTGGTAGTAGTGGCCTCGCTATCTGCGCCGGATAGCAACACAGAGCACGCCTTCTCGGCACATAGTCTGTGGTGACAAATTATGACCTGGCAGAAATAATGATCGTCTTGCATAATTGGTCTTGCTGCACTCATCATGTCTTTCTCTCTCTCTCTCTGCCGTGCCATCATCAAGTGTCTCGCAATGCAAGGGCACGAAAAAAGCAGGCCAGAATATCAGGAAACGTAGCGCGAACGCTGAACCTCCTTCATCCTCATGTCTTGGGTGACACTATTCGTGTTCTCACACGTTCTCATCAAGCCTGCCACTCGTGGCCTTACTAGCTCCGGTCAGCAAAACGCAACGCCCCTTCTCGGCATACAATCAGTGAGCAGCGATGGTGCAAACGTCAGAGGGTGCCTTATTTTAAAAACGACGCGGCTTGGTTTGGGTAGGCTTCGCTTGGCTTAAGTGGGGTGGGGGTTTGGGGGCAGTGGGCGACTTGCCCCTCCCTGGCAGGCAAGCACTCGAATGTCACATTGCAACGAGTGAGTATATCAGACAGTGTTGCAGTATTACTGTCCGTGATTATAGATAATTCGTTATACAATACATGGTACTATACGATAAACATGTTTTGCACAATACAACTTTCCAGATGGTATTCCAGAATATGCACATATTTGTAAGCCAAGACCCGTGGTCTCACAACCAGTTTTTGTTTCGCGAGCTCTGATTATGCACTGAAATAATCATCCAGGTACTGTATATATGAGTGTATAAGTATAACCTATTCTGCAACTTGAGTTTATTGCCGAATTGTAATGCACATAGTATACATTCTATGTACGCAAATATGCACGTTAATAACACGCGCCAGGCCAGGCAAAGAAGAGGCGAGCCGAGCCGCGCCGCGCCCAGCCAAGCCATGCTGCAAGCGGGAACCAAAACACGGTGGAGCCATGCTTTTTCTCTTGGGTGCGGCTTGGCTCGGGGTGGCTTTGTTCTAAGTTAAGCCGAGCCAAGCCAAGCCAAACCAAAGCCGAGCCAAGCCGCACACAGGAAAAACAAAAACACCGCGGAGCCAGCGGCGGAGTGTTTTGTTCTTGGGTGCGGCTTGGCTTGGGGTGGCTTTGCTCTAAGTTAAGCCGAGCCAAGCCAAGCCAAACCAAAGCCGAGCCAAGCCAAGCCGAGCCAAGCCGCACACAGGAAAAACAAAAACACCGCGGAGCCAGCGGCGGAGTGTTTTGTTCTCGGGTGCGGCTTGGCTCGGGGCGGCTTTGCTCTAAGTTAAGCCGAGCCAAGCCAAGCCAAACCAAAGCCGAGCCAAGCCGAGGAAAAACAAAAACACCGCGGCGGCGTGTTTTGTTCTTGGGTGCGGCTTGGCTTGGGGTGGCTTTGCTCTAAGTTAAGCCGAGCCAAGCCAAGCCAAACCAAAGCCGAGCCAAGCCAAGCCGAGCCAAGCCGCACACAGGAAAAACAAAAACACCGCGGAGCCAGCGGCGGAGTTTTTTGTTCTTGGGTGCGGCTTGGCTTGGGGTGGCTTTGCTCTACGTGAAGCCGAGCCAAGCCAAGCCAAACCAAAGCCGAGCCAAGCCAAGCCGAGCCAAGCCGCACACAGGAAAAACAAAAACACCGCGGAGCCAGCGGCGGAGTGTTTTGTTCTCGGGTGCGGCTTGGCTCGGGGCGGCTTTGCTCTAAGTTAAGCCGAGCCAAGCCAAGCCAAACCAAAGCCGAGCCAAGCCGCACACAGGAAAAACAAAAACACCGCGGAGCCAGCGGCGGAGTGTTTTGTTCTTGGGTGCGGCTTGGCTCGGGGCGGCTTTGCTCTAAGTTAAGCCGCGGCGGCCGAGCCAAGCCAAGCCAAGCCGGGCCAAGCCAAGCCAAGCTGAGCCCAGCCGAGCAAAGCCAAACCAAAGACGAGCCGCACCGAAGAAAAAAACAAAACTGCGGGGCCAGAACGCACCCCCAACGCAAACCGTCAACTTTGCTTGCTGCTGGACAAGGATTGGGGCCCTGCGAACCCTTCACGACTTCAGGCAGCACCCCCCAAGCCTCCAACTGGGCAAGGATGGATGCGATTCCAGGGCCCCCGTGTAATTGCACATCAATGCCTTGACATTGGTAATTAATACCTTGCTGCCGCCAGCAACGGCAGCCTCTGTAAGAGATGATGTTCCATGTTGTGTGCTCCTGGGCTTTTCTGAAAGGCAATTGACGTTATGCCGTTAAGGTGGGGCTCTGATGTCAAAGACCTTTCCCACGGAGCGCCGCAAGAGTCTCTCTCGAAATCTTGCCGTTTAAAGAAAGCCTGAAGGATTTCGCTTTGGCCGGATTGCGGGTGCTCTGACGCTGTTGCCAGAGCGCGCAGCGGCTTGCGTTTCCGACTCCAAGCAGCACTCTCCAGCCGCAGCTCCGCACGCACATTTTGGAGGTGGGAGTGACACTCATGTCCATCGTATATAACGTATGTAGATGTATATGCACATAACGAGACAAGACTTCGACAGACAGAGCAGACATGTACAAGTCCACAGTGATAGAGAAGATTTAGACTTGATAAATGGGGCGACCTGTCTGGCCTCGGCTGAGCCTCGAGCCAGAAATCGCTGTTTTGCCATGGAATGGAGCTGAGCCTCGACTGCCCTCTCTCTCTCTCTCTCTCTCTCTCTCTGGCCTCTGAGCTCCGGGCGCACGAGGGGGTCTTCGTGCGCCTCAGTGTGACTCCTGCTTTGGCTCTTCGATCAGCTCGGAGGACAACTAAGCCATTGGCAGTGTACCGGTTCGATAGGTGTGTCGACGGCACTGTGAGCCAAGAGTGCAGGCATGGGGCCAAGAGAAAGAGAGAGAGAAAGAGAGGTAGAGAGAGTGGCTACACCCCCAACCCGACACTGTCACACCCCTCCGCCACAGCTCCGTCTCTTTTGATCTCAGAGGTCGCCACCTCCGATATGTGCGCGCCTTCGTTCACGTCTTCTTCTCCTGCTCACCTGGCGGCAATGGCTGGACTCCCAAAAGCTTGGCGACGGGAGAGTCGCTGAAAAGCGTTTGTAGAACCCAACCGGTTGTGGCCGTGGGCAAAGCATCAGTGAAGGGCAGAGCTTCCTCGAAGAAGCCGAGGACAGAAAGCCCAGTGCCACCGAACAGGAAGCGCAGGGCAAAGGCTTCCAGAGGCGCGTAAGCCACATCTCCGAACTCCCCCAAACCTGCGCAGCGAGGGCACAGGGCATGGCTGGGCATGGCTTAGCCGCTTATGGCCCCGAGGCCTGGGAGCAAGAAGGTCGCATCACCGGCAAGGTCGATGGCCAAGCAGACGAGCAGCTTAAGCCACTGCTCCTTGGGTAAGTCTCCGAGCCTCTCGGAGAGGCTCTGCGCTGCACTCTTCGCAGCGCCTTCTGCTGCAGAGCCCACTGCTTTGGCGGCGTTTCTTAAGACTTTTCCTTCCTGCTCCCGCCTCATTGCGTTGATCTGGCTCTGGATCCAGAACACAAGAACACCCAGCAGAAGAGGAGCAAACACAGGCCCAAACCAACCTCCAAAGAGCTGGTCCAGGAGGTTTCCATCGATGTCGAGAGGCTCCACAAAAGGCAGATAATAAATCCGGAAGGCCAAGGCGCTTTCAACTGGGCCAAGAGGGCCCACGCTCCACCCGCTCCAGCAGGCGCTCGAGACGCTGTCTCGTGCTGGGATCCGGCTCCTTCTTCCTCGGAGAGCCGCTGCTCCTCCTGCCGCTCCGCCCGCTCCCGCTCCTCGACTCAGACCAACCCAACCCTTCGGAGCAGAAAGGGACAGCCCTCCGAGACTCAGAAACAGGAGCCATCGCACAAGCATCCGCGTCGCCTCGCGTCGCTGCAACAAGCTCTTCATCCTGCTGCTCATGGCGCAAGCCAGATGAAGGATCACTAATCCTCTTCAGGCTTGGCTCCCAATGGGGGGTAGACATGATCAAAGACTATCAAAAAGTAGGAGGAACCTGGTCCTGGCGATTGCACCGCTCAAGGCCAAAGCCGCTCCGAGATGGCTTTCGCAAATGACCATAGGCCCATATAGGCCCTAGGCTACCATGCGCTCGCTCCGTGCTACGCTGCTACACTGCTCGGGCTTTTAGGCGCTTGGAATCATTGGAATCATGCTTCGGCTGTTCCGACACAGCATTTTTGACGGGTGGCGGTTCCCGCCCTTCGCCCTGGGGCTGCGAGCTCACTTGTTGAGGCCGGCCAAAGACTTGGGCATGTTGCAGGACCTGGGCGTTGCCGCTTTGCCTTCCGACCCATCCCCCACCTTCATGGCCTCGCTGGCCTTGCCAGTCTGAGGCCGTGACTGCACACAGGACTGCCAAGAGCTGCTATGAACGCTTATGCGCTTTTTGCCTCAGCTCAGGCCCGCTGCCCTGACGCTGGGCCATGCTGGGCCACGCTGGGAGCTGCACGGCTGGCGATGAGGTTGGAGGGCATCACCACCTCGAAGACATGCCCGCTCGAGGGCATGAGAGGCTTCGAAATTCCGAGGCTTGGGCGATGATGTTGTGGATCGGCCTCAGTCAGAAGCTCTCCCACCCCCGGGCCCCGCGTCCTCGCGGTTGCCGCGATTTCGGTCACCGGCCCCACGCAAACGCCAGTGTAGCCCCTCATCGCCGTGTGGACGGCGTCACGGGCAAGCCTTGAGGAAGGCTTCACGTCTGTAACAAGCTCCCATCCTCAAGCTCTCAACATAGGGAACGAGTTATCTCCCCCTCTCTCTCTCCCCCTCTCTCCCTCCCTTTTCTCTTGCCTGGAGCAGTAGATGTGGTCGTTTGGTCGGATGGTCACCTGATCTCGAGGAGTGGGATTCTGCATCCTCTGCACTCTGCACTCTGCGGAGCGGCGGAGCGGATGATGTAGGAGGGGTCGATGTAGAAGGACCGTCCTGAGCGGGGCCACTCAAGACTCACTCAGCCGGGCTCTCTCACCTTGGCACGCGACCGCCACTCTTCTTCAGGTGCGCGTTGATCTGGTCCTCTAAGTCTCTCTTTCCCAGATTCGCTTTGGGAAAGGAGCTCCACAGCTTAATGCCTTAAGGTAGGTACCGATGTCGCCATACACTGTGTGACCTGTCCTTAGCCGTCAGCGACGAAAACCAAAGCAGTCGCTTAGGAAAGCCAGCTTGGCAGCGAGCGAATCCTTCTTTCCCGTCGAAACAAACGTTTGCCCAGCACCCTCCGCCACTGCGACGACCATGAAGTCCTAGACACGGAGGCTCCTCTCTTCTCGCCTTGCTCCTTCGTGCACGCCTTCGCAAAGCTGGATCTACAGCATCCGTGCTGTGCCCGACAGTCCCTCCTTGCGTGCCAAGGTTGTGTCCACGTGCTTCATGATCTCCTCCATCCTGAGAAACGGAGCCACGGACAGGGCCGGGCACGCGGAGTCGCTTCCGGAACTGGGAGCGATGCTCGACGTCCACCTGCCAATAACGAGGTCCGGGGCTCTCTCGTCTCTCTGGCCTGGCCGCCTGGCCGCCTGGCCTCCGGAATCATCACCAAGTCCACGATGGTGGAGGCCAGCGCCGCATGCATGGCAACAAAACCAGCATCACGTCCTCTCGCTCTGCGGGGCGCAGAGTCTCCGCGTCACGCTACAGTGCTGCAGTCCCATCAACTTGATGATGCCCACGCCCTTCGCACAACCTCAGGGACCGTCGTCAGCACGACGCATCGCCTTCGCCGTCTCTGCCCCTCAGCTGCGAGCTCGTCGCCTCCACCCAACCGTTTCCTGCCAGAAAGGCAGCAGGGGAGGCGGGAGGGCCGAGGTGTGTTGCGACAGAGCCAAGGTTGAAAGCCAGGCAGAGGCGACGGATCACCTCGGAGGCCGCAGCGACTGCCGAGTCGAAACCTCGGCCCAAAAAGGGGAGGACTGCGTCCGCTTATCCGCTTCGTCTTGGTCCGTGGCCGAAGGTCTTGTCGAAGAAGACGATGTCATTATCGATGGACTTGGGCACCCCCACAATAGACAAAGGCCTCGGCGGAGCGTCCCGGCCGCTCTCTGCTGCGCCGCCGCTCAAACCGCCAAGCGGCCGCCAAGCGGCCGCCCTCGGCTCCAGACATGTCCCTCTTCCGCGCCGCTTGGTACAGCAAGTTGGCCGCAGCCTGCGGCTTGCTGCGGCTTGCGGCCCCCAAAAACCCCAACGACCGCTTACCGATTTGCCAAAACAGGTCCTGAGTACCATCGCCGCCGACGGTGAAGAGCCTCAAGGACAGCGGCCGCAACCGCGCTCGTGTCTCCACTGGCTTGGACTGCAGCATGTTGATGCCCATCTTCTGCAGCCTGAAACAGCTGGGAAAGTTTCTGATCACTTGGCCAGCACATGCTGAGGCTCGCTCTGATCCAAGATCTTGTCCGGATCATCCATTCCGCCCCGCCCCGCCTGTTTTGTGTCATGTCACTGCGCTACACGTCTGCTTGCATTTCTCCTTCATCCCGGCCCAAAGTCCAGAAAGGGCCTGAAAACTACGTTAGGGCACACATGCATTTTGTGCCTGCCGCCTGCCTTCCTCTCCTGCCCCTCATGAACAAGCAGCCCAAGCGATGGAGAGCACGTGGCTGCTCAACTAGCGAGCGCACCTTCAGGATGCTGCCTCCTTTCATGTGGATGTCTCGCACATTTTCGACAGTGAGCCTTGCGAGGCGACAGTCCAGGACATTCGTGTTTGGGATCAACCGGCACCGGCTGAGTCTGAGGACTGGATGGGTGGGAAGTCGTCCGGCGAACTGCACCTCACTCCGCCGCTATACGCCACTGCGCGCGAGCGTATGCGGCCATGCCGAGCAAAGTGTCTGCTCCGAGCTCCGCGGCCCGTTGTATCCGGCTTGCATGCCGAGAATGGTCTTCACCTCAAGTCATGGCCAAAGCAGAGGGCCTAAAGAGGCCTTTAGGCTCGGAAAAGCTGGGTGTGGGTCGCCATACTGGTGCCTTGGGAAGGCGAGGGCGCGAAGGGGCGCTTCAGACCACGAGAGCACGAGCACGAGTGCGGTCGCGAGGGGCCAGAGGCAGTTGGTGATCTCGCGGATGATGGAGTTCAGCCCTGGGCCTGGAGCCGAGCAGCCGAGCAGAGAGGAGCGCATCTTTCTGCTCTCTTTCTTGTTTTGGCTTCCGGCAAAGCCCGCCGCAGGTCACAATGGCGGCTCGGACCTTTTGTCACTTGACTGTCTCGAACACTCGAACACACTCGGACACACGTGGCCTCACTGGGGTCGTGGAAAATCTCACGGCACGCGTTGGCCCTGACGCAACCTGCAGTAACTTCTTCTGCTCTTCTGGCACTTGCAAAGCTTCCGTCTCCCAAGGCACCGTTGGCAAGTTCCTTTGGTCGGGAGGCCTTGCAAGGAGCACAGCACCGGTCACCAGCCTCACGAGCCTCTCGCAGCACGGCAAACTCAGCAAGCTTCTTTTTGGCGTGCTTCCAGCGGCTTCCGTCATCGTCCGGAGTCTCCTCTGCCCCTTGGCGGCTCTTTGCCGATGGCCCTAGCACGAAAGCGTGGGCGCCGGCGTGCTTGCCTGACAAGATCCTCGTAGGGCTCCCTGGTGGAGGGTCTGGGCCTTATGAGGGGTGCTGACGCTGACGGGAGCATGGGCAGAACGGGGTGTGCCGGAGCCAAGCGAGAACTGGGCGGTTGGGACGGCGCCGGCACGGAAGCCCGAAGCCTCTTCAGTGAGGCTCCCCGTGTCTCTCCACGTCCAGGGCTGTTAGGCCGCTTTTGCAGCTGCCGCTTAAGACCCAGGCGGGCCACAACGCTGCTTCTCAGCGAAACTGTTGGCTCTCTGGAAACGATGACGTCTGTCACCCGTTCCTCCACCCAGCGTGTCAGCGTAACCTTCCAAGCAAAGTCAGAGATGTGGGTTTGTAACCCGTGCATACGATTTGAACTTGAACCACCTCCAGAGGCCCCTCAGGCGGCTCCAAAGCTGACCACTTGGATTTACACCTGCGCCATGCTTCCTTGAAAACCTCAGGGGCGGTTTTTTGCAGGCCAACCCATGGCTTTGCAAGGCAATTTTTGAGGCAAAGCGTGCCTTGTCTGCATTCAGGACGCTCGAAAGGTTCATAGGGGTGCTGCAGCCGGACGATGTGAAGGATGTGCTCGCAGACAGCGTGCTTTTGATGATAGCATCAACGCAAGCCCGCTCCAAGTCTTTCTCTTCTGGACGCAGAGGCCCTTGAAAAAATTGCTTTAGTCGTTCTTCGTCCTGCGAAGTACGTGGATCAATCGGCACTGCGTATCCGCTGCCGTCTGCAACATGGTGCACTCTCCTCTGCACGCGCATCTGCCCGCGCCAGGGGCGCCTGGTGTCGAGCGCAAATTCCGTGGCAACACGGGGGCTGAATCTGTATTGACTAACAAACCCGGGCCGTGAGAACCTAAATTCAGCACTTGGGAAACCTAAACTCCAGATTCTGGCTTGTTACCTTGGAAAAGTAGAATTGTTGAGCTTAACAAAAACCTGAAATTGTGATAAGAATCAATAAAACACGGAAGGCCGAAAGTTTTTTTTGCCACCCGCCCAGCTGAACAAGTCGCGCCGCAGGGAACTCGTTTGAACTAGCACTGAAAAAAGGCCTTAGGTTGTTAGGTTATGGTAAAGTAGTGTTTTTGGCAGTTTTGCACCGGGGGTTCAGTGTTTTAGGTTCAGAGCTTACTAAGATTATGTCAATGTGGTCATTCAGGATTTATCGAATGGGTTTCACGGTTTCTCGCTCGTTGCCTCACAGCTGCCATAGGCTCTCGCGCATGCACCTAATTAAAAGCCTTGGCCGGACGCCGGCCAGCAGGCTCCTACGGAGCCGCCTCAGGTCCAGCCCGTGAAGGGCATTGTTTACGGGTAGACGCCTTCCGCTTCAAGCTGGATGATCCCCATGTCTGACATCACCATGCGCCCGTTTTGCCTCCTGGCAATCTTTTTGTGCACAAGGTGCTTGACAAAAGGCCCAGCTTCCTGCACGAAAAAATCGAACAGTCTCACTGGCGAGCGTTCCCGTTGGTGTTGAATCGTCTCGAGCACTGCTGGGCATCGTCCACTAAGGTACCGTTCGAACCCAGATCCAGAGCTCCACTTGGCCACCCCCGTGACCTTCCAGGTCGCCAGGTCGAACAGCTGGAGATGTCCCTCTTGGGTCTCCAGCCCCAAATTGGAAACGGTCACATCTGCCAAACTGAGGCCCCTGCTGCTCAGCCACGCAACTATGCATGCTAAGTAGTAGTGCCAATGGCGGTGCGCTTCCGCATCCAACCTTTCCAACCAGCCCTGAGCCATGATCACCTTTTGCTGGATTAGGGCAAAGACCATGTGTCGGGTGGCTCCTGGTGAAGACCCCATACGGGCAACCACCGGGACCACATGGATCACCAGAGCCGTGACTTCTGGTAGCAGCTCCGACAGCTGCTCCTCGCCACCGTGGTCGTAGGCCACTGTGGTAAACTTTACCACAAATGAGCCCCACCCATACACCACCCGGTTGTTACCAGCGCCGAGTCGGTGCAGGGTTATTTCCTGCGGTAAAGGCTGGCCCCGAACCAGGTCCTTGACGACCGTGATCCTGTCGCCGAACCAGTGGTGCGCTAACTTCGGCCGCCTCCTGTTTGCTTGGACCTCAACCTGGACGTGGTAGTTCAGTGCTGGGCCACCTGCTTCCCACGAGGAGGACGCCTCCTCACGGGAGCGGCCTGAGCTCCTGTGCTGATCCGTAGTGTCCCTTAGCTCCGAGACGGACCTCAGAACTACTCCTGTTTGGGACCCTACACTTTCGGTGGAGGACGCCTCCAGGAAAATGCTGTCTTCGGTCTCACTTTGCCTCCTAACTGCGGAGGCTGAACGCAGGGACACCTCCTCTGGTTCATCTTCCGTCTTGGCCCTCTTGGGCGCCGGCGGCCGCGGTTTCACGGTTTCGGCGCTCACACTCGGACCATCCAGGCGAGGCATGTGGTTCGGAGGTCTGTTGAGTGAGACACAGAGACACATATCAGGGAGCTCTCGCAGTAAATCAATCATTACAACATCCATATCAACACCTAACCTGACCGTGCTCAGCCGAGGACTTCACCCCCTCTCTCACGATCCTGTCGCATAAGGCTTGCAAACAGCTTAATCCCTTCCCCCCTTTACTAAACTCCCCCCTAATACTAAAAACATATTGCCCCGAATCCAGCCCGAATTTTCCCCCCCCCCCCTTTAAAAGTGAATTTGGGGGGCAGGGCTTTAGGGGTGACTCAACTGCTGAGCTGGCTGTCTCGACGACGGCTGCTGCTATTAACCACGACGACTGCTGCTACTGCTACCACTAACACAACAACTACCATCACCATGGGAACTGGTGACAGCTGCTGAGAAGTGCTGAGAACTGACTGGGTTGAAGATGGAACTGGATGGATGACTGCATGGTTGTGGTTGGATGGGTGCGATGCTTGCAAAGCATGACAAATTGCATGACTCGGCAACTGCCCAATTGAGCCTCATTCAAAGCCATATTAGCTAAGCCTTTATTGAAACCTGATTATTCCAGCTTTGTTAAGCTTTATGAAACCCTGTTGAGACTCAGGCAAATCCTGAGTGTTTGGGCTATCATCGGGTAGCGAAGCCATGGAGTTGTTCGTCAAGTCAGCTCAACTCCTTCAATCAAGAAGAGCAAGGACGGCCATGGGCTTACAGCGCATTCGAATTTTCCACGCTCGGCACAAAGCAATGCTGTCCTCTAGACTAGCCTTTAAGCTTGGCCTTCTTTCGTATCACGTCCGGAGTCCTAGCTATACATGACATGATGTGTCTGATCAGGGCTCAGCCCTGGGTCATGATGAGCCGTCAAGGCTCTGCGGAGTCGCGCAGACCTGTCAGGGTTCCACACTCCTCCTCAGCTGCATCATCCCATTCGGATGGAAAGCTGCCAAGTTCTCCCGTCTCGCAGAGCCTGAAGGCAGTAACGACAGAACATTCTATCTTGTACCCCAGCAGAATACGTAAGGCCTGACAAGAACGGAAGAAGTGTAACGCTCCTGGTGTTCTACTGGAGGTCGTACTCATATGGAGCTCACACAACTCTTCATAAGTCCCTGCTCCGTTCGCTCGAAGCCTCTATCTGGGGGAGAGGACCGGGGCCTGATGACCCGGCTGAGTCGGTGGAATGAAATCCAGAAAATCCATAAACTCCATCGATCGGTGGTGCCGGGATGGATACCGGGGTGTCAGGTGGTAAAGGCGGTGGCGGCGGTGGAAAGTCCAACACCGTCGTGCCTGGCTGTGCTTCCACTTGGACACGGAGGTAGGGCGCACGTGGCTGCACTGTCTGTCGAGAGTCTGGCTCAGGGTCCTGCAGGGGCCTCTGTCTTAAACCCTCACCCTGCAACTCACGTTCTATTGCCCTACGAACTACCTCCTGTCTTCGGTCGCTACGGGTCTGGGCAGGAGGATCCTCATCTGCATTTATCATCCTCACTGCATGGTCCTGACCTAGGCGACTACAGCAAAGCCTTAAAACCCTCTCGCCCACTCCCACAGGAATAGAACTGACAGGATCATCAAAGCCACTATCAAGGAGAGCTCGATGTCGAGAGGCTCACTTTCAACCTCTTCCTCTTGCACGGCTTCACCCTGGTCTAGCCCAAGCATCAACACTAAGGTTAGCAACCATAAACCCAACTGATTCCCTTTAGCTCCGGCTAGACCATGTTCAAGATGCCTGGTTTCTGGCCGTCCTCGTGTCGTCCAGGAGTTTTCCGCAATGGAGGTCCGAGAACCTTTCCACCGCTTTCTGTGTCTCCTTCGGAAGCAACGTCTTCACCAACTTGAAGAGCTCCCGAAGCAGACCTGCAAAGTTGCTGCAAGCTAGCTCCACGTACCAAAACAGCCCGTGGTTCGCTTCGATCGCCTGTTTGATCGCTGCCGCTGGGCAAGCTTTACACATGGCTTGGATATCCTCGGACGACATGATCGGTAGACACAGCTATAGCTACAGTTAGCCTAGAGCCCACCTGCCAGCACGAGCATGCGGGATAGAAATATGGGTGCATGGCTGCACCTGCATGGATCACCCGAACAATCTCCGGAGCTCGCTTCTTCATGTCTGCCTGCTGCAAATACATACAGTACACAGTGCATGCATATCTCCTGCTATACATACATACATACATTCATGTACGTATATACGTATACATGTACATATTTGCATATACATACATATATATATATATATATATATATATATTCAAAAAATGTCCATATATATTGGTGCACTAGCTCCTATATCCCACCACCATCCCCAGAACACCTCCGGGACAATAGTGGAGTAAGTAATTAGCCTGCGAGCTAGCCGAGCGACGACCGAATAGGAACAACAACACACTCAGCTAGCACGGACGGACTTTTTATCTGAAGTGGCAACTATCCCAGGTTGCCTGGAGATCCGATAGCCTTCGGCTATCCATCCCCAGGGTGGGCAGGGCGGGTACTTGAAAAAATTACCCCCCTGATGGGGGACTTTATCCAGAATGGCCACGGTCACACATACCTTCGTAGCCATTCCAAGTCAAAGCTATCCTGTCTTCGCATGTCAGAGGCAACTCTCCTGCGAGCGACGATAGCGAACGAAACTTCGTTTCTAGCGAAGCTACCTTCGATAGCTTCGAGTAGTAATAGGTTAGCTAGCACACATAGTCGTAACTCGTTCCTCGTCACGAGGTACGTGCACTAGCTCCTATATCCCACCACCATCCCCAGAACACCTCCGGGACAATAGTGGAGTAGGTAATTAGCCTGCGAGCTAGCCGAGCGACGACCGAATAGGAACAACAACACACTCAGCTAGCACGGACGGACTTTTTATCTGAAGTGGCAACTATCCCAGGTTGCCTGGAGATCCGACAGCCTTCGGCTATCCATCCCCACGCATCGCCACTCAGGCTACCAGGGATCTAGCTTCCGGGCCTTTCGGCTAAACTTTGACACCCTATCCGGGGTCCCTCGCTTTCGCGTGCCTAGCTCCTTGTAGAAGCTATCTGCATGCGCGAGTAGCCGGCCAAGGACTCGCCACTTGAAGTCCTCCCCTTCAGATCTATCCTCTGACCGGGGTCAAACTCCTTGAATTCTTCGTTGGTGAGGTCGTGCGCTAGCTGGTTGATGTCTCTCCGTATCCACTGGAGCTGTAGCTCACAGTTCTTCTGGGATAGCTCTTCTGCTACCTCCATTAAAATTAGCATCGAAGGATACTTGGTCGTCATAGCCTTCTTCACAAGTGCCTCGTTGGACTTGTTATCCGTATATCCGCGGATGGCCACTCG